CAAATGGACCACGAGCCGCGGCGCACAGACCAAAATACTCAAAAATGACATTTTTGGCCCTGTTTTGAAGTAGTTTGATTCCCAAAACCTTTCCATGCTTCCAATGCCTATTTAAATTATTAAGTTTGAGCTCAAACTATCAATTTAAAGTGTTTTTAAGGGATCCCAATTATTCCAAAATTATTTTAAAAGATTATTAGTTTAATAACCCTTTTATATATAATGTGAGATTATGAGCAAATCCTTGCTCCTAATTATGATTGGTTGTTGTGATTGTGTGGTGAATTTTGGCAATGTCAAGGTGGACGTTTCATGACATGCAAGATAAGGGTAAGAAGGAACCCTTAGGTGCTAGAGATTTGTGATTAACCATGTAACATCTCTAGTAAACTTTGTGTGTATAGGAATTGCATTATTGCAAAGTTTAGGGGTTACTCATGTTGATTATACCTCACTTGCATATAGTTTGTTTATTTGACTTTGACATTTTGGTCTTGACCCTAATGTGTATTTAATGAAGTATTATTTGTTCAATGTAATGTCCTCTAACATTAATCACACAATTACACAATCCTTTAAAGCCAATTACATAACTAAGAAAGATAACATAGGAAGATAGGATCAAGATCATCTATTTAAAAACTCGAAAGAATAAGTATAAGAATTTTAAGTAGATAGGATCCTAAAACTAACTTAAGTTTGAAACATCTAATTAAGGCCCTTGAAATACTTTATATTAGAGTACAAAATTATTTAAGAAGCATGGTAAAAAGTTTGAGCATCATGAGAATTTAAAAGAGAGTCAAAAAAGTCATTTTACCAAAAACAACACCATCCATTGAGGCTTATGGTACAAGGAGCACCTGCCTCAACCAACAACACCACTTGCCGCGACTAGTAGTATAGAGAGTATTTGACATAACCCAAGTCACAATTCATCATGATTGATACTTTCATGTCATACACTGCAACTAATAAAGTCTTTTGCCATGGAGCACATGTCGCATCAGCGTAGCTGAATTTCAACTTTTAGATCTAACTTTCGATGTGCCTTAACTTTTGACTTGGACCTCCAATTGAAGTGATCCATGCACCCACATGAAAATAATTAAATAAACTAACTAATGGCACTAGCCTTACCTTAATTGGAGGTCCAATCAGAAAGTTATGTACACTAGAAGCTGAATCTCGCTAGTTGTCATGACGGTTGTGCTATCATGACATACATACCATAATGAATGGCCTTGTTGGCCATAATGCATGAACAAAGAGTGTCAATCATGGTGGATGATGCTAATGGCCATGATAGATACTCTATGTACCATAAGTTACATAAAATCTCCCTTACTAAACTACAATTAAGTCCAATCTTGAGGTAATCAAGGGACTAAGCCTATAAGGATTACCAAGTTTGTGAAATTACAAGAATGGGAGAACAATTCTCAAAACATTTAAAATGGGATCCTAAAATTTTAACAATTAAATTTCTCCTAAACACTCTCATTATGCTCAAATTAGAGTTTAAAAATAATGTAGAAGCTCAGAAATCATATGGGACCTAAAATATTGAGTTTGAAAAACCTAAAACAGTGAAATTGTGTAGAAAAATGTGCCATCCACCATGGCTAAGTGTCAGTATGCCATGGCTTACTCGCCTTTGTGCCATGTATCGTGGCGCATTGCATGAAATATCTACTATCAAAATAACAGTGGGGATAAACTTCTAACACATCTGAAATCCCCATCCAATGTCTAAGTGAGGTGGTTTCGGTAATTACATAGAGCTTTCTCCTAGCTCTAGCTAATGATATGGGACCCAAAACATTGAGTTTCAAAACTCAAAACAGTGAAATTATGTAGAAAAATGTGTCATGCACCATAGCTAACTATCAGTGTGCCATGGCTCACTTGCCTCTGTGCCATACACCATGGCGCATTGCATGAAATATCTACCGTCAAAATAATAGTGGGGATAAATTTTTGACGCATCCAAAATCTCTATCTAATGTCAAATTGAGGTGGTTTTGGTATTTATACGAAGCTTTCTCTTAGCTCTAGCTAATAGCACAAGTTTTACACTCAAATTCATTTTCTACAAGAGTTGGACACCAAAACCCATTTTCATTACTTTTTTACTAAAATTCACAACCATGGTGTCCTAACTTACACACAAGTACCAAAAGCCTACACCAACACTTCAATCATGTTCAGTGGACTCTAGAGGACTTGTGTAATACACCACACTCATTCAAAAATGCATATATCAAATTTTCACCACTTAACCCCATATTTCACAAAACTCAAATGGGAGAAATTTCTTGTACAAAACAATTATTTCATTTCAAATCAGTCAAACTACATATGTTTCTACTTGCACAAGTATTTTGGCCCTATTCAAGGGCTTGCAACCAAAACTCACTAACCCATGACACAAAATACGCAAGTTGCACACAATAGTTATACAAGTAGTACAAAATAAATGATATGAGACCTAGTTGGCAATTTAATGACATTTAAACACATAAACAAGATGGAGAGGCATGGAGTGTTCAAGATATACCCGGCCCGACTGACCCGTACCGGCCCGTGCTCGTCCCGATCATATTGGGACGGGTCTGTCCCGGCCCGAAAAAATTCGAGACGAGATTTTTTAGGACAGGGACAAAATAGGGACGGGACGGGACGGGACACGGGCCATCCATCGGGACGTCCCGTCCTGTCCCGTTTATTTAGTATATATAAATATATATGTTTTTAAATTTAACTATTATTTATTTATTTTAATTAAATTGATTATTTGATTTTTAATATTATTTTTAGCTTTGAGACAGATACGCGACACAGGCGCACGGCAGCAGAGAGACCATTTTTGATTTTTGAAGTTCCTTTTCCCTTTCCAGTTTCTACTTTCTAGATCCAGATCCAGATCCCTCCGCCTCCGCCATTCCAAAGCTCAGTTCGGTTTCTATCTTTCCCTTCCATTCCAAAGCTCCAAGCCTCCAACTCCAACTCCAAAGATCCCTCCGCCGCAGATCAGTCGCCCAGCCACAGAGACAAAGCAGAGTAGCAGACCTTCGGTCCTTCAATCCTTCGGTCCTTCGGTTACATCATCTTTCTACTCGAGCTTCGACACACAAAGACTAGAGCTGACGCCTCTGCCTTCGCGACCTGGACCACACCTCTATCTCTACACCTCCACGCCTCTGTCTCGAGCTGTAGTGCAAGGTATTTGTTGCCTCAACCTAGATCTCTACCCAAATCTCCGTCCCAGGCTCCCAACGTTGCCTCATATTTCCATCGGCTGCACCGTCAAGTTTGTGGTTTTGGTCCTCCCCTGCCTCACATCGTTGAAGTTTCATCTTTCTCCTCCATTTGAGCAGCTACAAGGGTGCGCCGGTAATCTCTTCCTCCCATAAAATGAGTCGCCGTCTTTCAAAGACGTAGGAGTCTCCATCAAACACCCAACTCATTCCTTTGATGCTACACTTCGCCATTGTCTCCTTCCCCTGCTCTTCGACACTGTTCTATTTGAGGGAGTTCTAAATTTTTCTACTTGCTTCATCGTGATTGGTTGGAGGTAAGGATTCGTAATTCTCTTCTAGATATGGCATTGCATCTGATTGTGAGACTTATTTATTCTTTCTTGTTCTTGGAACACCGTAATGTCGTGGGTGAGGGGAGGAAATTTCACTTCTATTATGCAGTTGGATGTTTAAAGAGGGTAAAGGAAATTGCGCTTCCTTTATGGTTGAGAACTTGAGATTGATATGTTTGAGCAGTATGAAAATGGCACCTCTTAGTGGTTTAAATAGTTACTTGTATGACTTTTCAGTTTTTAAAATATTTTTTTAATTAACAAAGGTTAATCTCAATGAAAAGAACATGAGATTTCATGCTCGAATCAGTATAAATATACAAAACATATGTGAAAGAGTTACCCTTAGGTAAGCCTGACAATGCTTAAATTTAATCTAAGTAAATAGGCATATTAAAAAAAATCCTTTTAATTATTTAGATATGTCTTTACAATCATATTTAAAGAACGGTTCAATATTGTTACCTGATTAGGAAAAGATTTCATGTTGGTGCATTTTGGTTGAGAAAGGCCTTTTAGATATACTGTTACCCAATCACAAAAAGTTAAGCTTTGATTAAATATAATTTAATATTAAAGCATCACAGAATGATGAGTGATTTTAATTTAATCCCTTGAGGTTTGCTTATGGATGGTTGAATCAAAGTTGTTTCATGGGGCACACACTGTCTGGTGCACATGGTCATTTAGATTTGGCAAATCCTCAGTTTCATGTTGGCCAGCTCACCCATGTACCCTTCATTTCTCAATTTGTAAAGAAATGGATCTAAACTGTACTCTTGCCAAGTTCTACCAAAACAAATATACTGTTGCTTAGAATGGACCTGCACTACTTCACAGTAAACACACCAACCAAAAAGAACCCACGCGAGTTTTGGAATCTATCTAACTAATAAATCTCACTCCTTCCATACATTCTAATTTCTAAATCATAAAAGTCAGAGTTCTATACTATAGTATTTATAATTTATAAATAATACTATAGCAAACTTTCACAAGACAATTGTTCTAAATTGCAAAGAGGTAAATCTGTTATCTCGGTGATATGTTTATATGCCCATTCTATTTATTCTTGTTTTTAACAAAAATAAATATTGGTTAGGAAATGTGTTAATATCATTTAATTCCATCTTCTTTCCAGGAAGGTGATATTTTAATTTTGCTTTTGTTATGCTTGCTGAAAATAGTGCTACAACAATATATTAATTGCTTACTTTTTTTTGTCTGCTGTGAGATTTAATGGATTATATCTCTCTACCAATTTGTTAAAAGTTTTGATGATTTATTGTGCTTACTATGTCAGACTGGTCTCTTTTAAATCTATTTGAATATTTAATATGAGGTTTTAATCAGTTAAGGGTTGTTGTTGCTGCTGCTATTGGCTAAATCTACATTGCAAAGAAAAATGGCCACTACACCCACCCTTCAAGAAAATGTTGAAACAATAGAAGGAGATCCTGAAAATGCTTTATCACCTGATACTGAAGAGGAAAATGAGGGAAATGAGTCAAAGAATGAAGGAGACAGTGGAAGAAAGAGACATAAATTAGCTGTTTGGGTGCATTTTGAAAGGTTGCCATTGGACAAAACTAATGGAGAACCTCGTGCTAAGTGCAAGTATTGCCCAACAACAATTGGTTGTGACTCTACAAGACATGGTACAAATGGAATGAGAAAACATGTAAAAAGATGTCCCAGAAATCCGAACAAAGCAAACAAGTTGGTACAATCTTTGCTATCGGGCTCTCAATTAGGGTCATCTAAAACTTTGAGTCATCATCTATTTAATCAACTTGATTGCAGACAAGCCATTGCTATATTTGTGATATTGGATGAGATGCCTTTTAATGTTGTGGAAGGTGATGGTTTTAAAGAGATGATGAGAAGGTTAGAACCTTGCTTTCAAGTCCCTTCAAGAGCGATAGTTACTAGAGATTGCTACAAGTTGTACCTTGAAGAAGCTAGAAAGTTGAAAAGGTATTTTAAAAAATCTCAAATCCGTGTTTCACTCACTACTGATACTTGGACTTCCAATCAAAATGCCAATTATATGTGCTTAACTGCTCACTGGGTTGATGAGCATTGGACATATCAAAAGCGAATCTTGAATTTTTGTGTAGTTGAAAATCATAAGGGAGAAACAATTGCTCAAGAAATTGAGAAATGCTTGCTGTTTTGGAGCATTGATACGGTGTTTACAATCATAGTTGATAATGCTTCTTCTAATGACACTGCTTTGGCATCTTTAAAGGGGGTCTTGAGGCATTGGAATAGTTTAGTTTGTGATGGGGAGTTCTTGCACTTACGTTGTTGTGCGCATATCTTAAATTTGATTGTTTCTGATGGTGTGAAGGATATGCACAAGTGTATTGAAGGCATTCAAAATGCCATTAAATATGTGAGATCTTCTCTATCAAGGTTTCATAAATTCAAGGAGCTTGTGGAAAAAATGAAAATTGATTCAAAAAGGCTACTAAGCATGGATTGTCCAACTAGATGGAATTCAACTTACATCATGTTAGAGAGTGCAATTAAATTTTGCAACGTTTTTGAGAGGATGGAGCAGCAAGATAATGATTACAGAAACTTCTTCTTGGATAAAAATTTGATTGGTCCCCCTAATGAAAATGATTGGAAGGATGCAAAAGATTTTGTGATCTTTTTGAAGGTGTTCTATGATATTACTTTGCAATTTTCAGGATCACTTTATATGACCTCAAATGTTTGCTTTTAACAGATAGTTGATGTCTTTGCAATTTTATATGAAAATGCAAACAATCATGATTCCTTGCTTTGTGATATGGCTAAGAGCATGTTGACCAAGTATAATAAGTATTGGGGGAACTTAGAGAAACTTAATCTTTTGCTTGTGGTAGCAGTGGTACTTGACCCAAGGTATAAAATGAAATATTTGCAGTTTGCTTTTGAGGATATGTTTCTTGAGACTACACAACGTGAAGCTATGACAAAAAAAGTCTCAGATGTCTTGTATCGTTTATATGATCATTATTCAAGTGGGGTTGACACATCTCAGACTCAAAGTCAGAGTCAAAGTCAGACACAAGGAGCAAGTGAAAGTAGTTTGACTCAATCACTTAGATCAGATCGTAGGCCTTTAACTTTCTTAAGTTCTAGGTCTAGGGCTTCATTTCAAAGGTTTCTTGCCCAAAAAGAGATTGAGGTTCAAGCAGATAAGTATGCAGAGGTGGACAAGTATTTGCACGATGAGTTAGCTGAAGCACTTGATCCAAATTTTGACATTTTAACATGGTGGAAATTGAATTCGGCTAAATATAAAGTCCTTTCATTAATTGCACGTGATGTATTGGCCATGCCTGTTTCTACTGTGTCTTTAGAATCTGCATTTAGCACAGGAGGTCATGTAATTGATGATTTTAGGAGCTCCCTATCTCCAAAGATGGTTGAGGCACTAATTTGTGCCCAAAACTGGCTATCTCCATCAACTGCAAAACTGAAAGGTGTTGATGTTGATAATTTTAACGATACAGAGCAAGCTGTGGAAGGTAATATCATTTTTTTATATTTGATTATTTCTTTTAATATGATTTAACTTTTTGTTTATATATATTTAATAATTTTTGTTTATATTGTGTTTATTGTTTTATTTTCAGAAAAATCATTAGCTTCAAATATCTCAGTTGAAGAGGAAGAGCAATGAGTTGAAGTTGAAGTTGAAGTTGAAGTTGTACTTGGGGCTTAAATTGTTGATTCTTGACTTGTTGTTGCACTTATTACTTAAAAGTTACTTGTCTTTGTTAAGCTGTATTTATTGAATTGTTGTTGTTATTTGTCTTTTGAATGTTGCTGCTGCTTGTTGAAATGTTCTTCGTAGACTTGATTTAATTTGATTTTCTGTTACTGCTTTTTTTTCCTTTAGTAGGAAATCTTGATATTTCCAAAATCTTGGTATTTCCAAAATCTTGATATTTCTAAAATTTTGATATTTAAGATGATGGCATCACTAGTTGAGACTACATTACATGATGAAGGTCGAGAAAAAGTAGCAGGTTTAGTACCTTGATAGTTGACATAGTATAGCTTTGCTTGTAAAGCATGTAGTCAATTTATGTCTTCTAATTTGTCCTCTAATTTGTTTCTTTCTTTGCCATAGCAATTTTTAAGTATTAGGGTTATGATGTGAAAGAGCTTCCTGAAGAGTACAGTGAACCACTTATAAATTACAGGGGCACGCTAAAAATAGGTTCTTTCTCAAAACTTTAATGTGTTTTTACAGTAATTTTAATTCTGCAATTAATGATAAATTAATTATAGGAATACTTCAGGTGAACAGCAAGACTGAATTTTTTATTTCAATATGATTTTACAGGGAAGGAATTTGAAGTGATCGAGAATTTGGGAAGAATTCAAGTGCCGTTCAAATGGAAGCAATATGAGGTAATTTTTTTCTCTCCAAATCTCCTATAAAATTAGGACATTGTTGAGAAATATTTTCAAAGAAAAAGATCTGGGTGTTGAGTTGCGAAAAAAATTTTATTTATATGGTTGAGTTGTGAACAAAAAGATTTGGATGCTTTTTCTTATCAAGTAATAAGTTGAAAGATTGTAATAATCTCGTTGATCCAGGACGTCCCGATCCCATCCCGGTCCCATCCCGACTCTTTTTGGGACGGGACAGCTTCCGGGACGGGACGGGACACGGGACAAATTTTTAGTCCCGATCATTTTTCGGGACGGGCCATGGGACAGGGATGTCCCGGTTCCGTCCCGTCCCGTGAACACCCTTACATGAAAGTAAGATTTTCACCACAATCCTATGCCTCAGTATGCTTTTCCCAAGCCCGATCCGATGAACTAGGCCCTAAAAATATTAAGAATTGAGGGGTGAGTACAAACCACTCAATAACTAAGTTTTATCTAATATATACAGTTGTATATCAAGAGAAAACAGATGCAAATAAGCAAGAACACATAATTGCAACACATATTATGAAATTGCCCATAATTCACAATATTAACATCCATGTGACCGAGCCCAAAGGCACATATAACCATTTTAAATGACAAGTCACAACATGGGGTCATAATAATACCAACCATGCACCCCTAACACATGCCAGACTACAATACTAATAACTATATGGCCGGATTTATATGTATGATCAAAGCCAACCTTATACTCTTCTGTTACCTTTGACATGAAATTGGTAGCTATTCGATGGCTACGTCCTTAACGGACTAACCCAACCTTCCACTTGTAAGGAGCTACTAGGTTAAAGTCAACTTACTCACTTGTGTAATTCAGTTTCTTTAATACTAACAACCATGGGGTGTCTTATCCCTAATCTAGTCTCCTTATGAACCAATAGAGACTAGTTAAGTTCGAATCCCTTGTAGAATAGGTAGGATAGTCTTAAATCGACTATGGGATAAGGGCTACCTCCTGATTCCAATAGTCGTGCCAAGCCAAGTTCTCGATTCCAACGGTCACTGCCAATACCACATGGATTTAATCATCTACTCCTCTCCCCAGGTGAACTCCCACCAATGATCATACGATACATGTATACCACATAATCATGCAACTCAACCATCAATCACATAATATGGATTCACATATCTATAATCACAAACTCAACTCACTCCACATGCCAAATACTATATTTTATCAATTTCATAATGATTAGCCATTTATCAAATCTTTAGTTACAAAGAGATGGCTTGCCAAGGATTTCTATTTCTAAAATCATAACACAATTTCACAAGTTCATCACTTTGCAAAACATTGCATCAATAGTTGAAAATATAAATTATGATTCAAATTAAGCCATTTTCAACAAATAACCAATTAATATTCAACTATATAAATTAAGTTTTTCTCAATTACCTCAAACCTTTGAGAGGTTAGAGGTTTACTATAACATCCTAAATTTTTAATCCTGCATTAATGACTGATTAGGAAATGAGTTAATGATTTAATGTGGGATTAGGGTTTTGGATAGTGAGATATTAATTTGACTTATTGGGGTGTTATATGAACAAATATGAGTGAAAGAAAGAAGTCTCAAAGCAAAGTGTGTGAGCATAGTAAGGATTTCCCTTACTGTGCCACGTGCCGCAACACATTGAGCAAAATTATGATAAGTTGGGATGTGTCTAGCTCGTGAAACAAAAGGGAAGAATAAGAGAAAGAGGTTTTGGTGTGGAGAAGAGAAGGGGTTCTGTTAGAGCAAGCAAAATTAGGAGCAAGGATGACATTTTTGACCTGTTACTTATTAGGTAAATCTCATACTACCTTAATATCTAATTCTACCCTGTTTTCTTAGTTTTAACTAGTGAGAAATTGAGTTTGGGAGTTTTAAAGAGTTAATTCCTTACCCTATAGTAATAAAAATTTTTTTCAGAACTAAACTAGTACTTTGTGTAACATCCCAATTTAAATTTTATTAGTTAATTTTGATTAATAGAAATTTTAGAAAATATTTAGAGGTAAGTAAATTAATAAGAAATGATTATTAGATTTAATTTTGCATGTAATTCTAAGTTAAGATTTTAGAAATTATTATCCATCATCATCATCATTATTAGGAAATAGGAACAAGAAATGTAAGAGAATGAGGGATTAATAAATAAATTAAAAAGAAGAAGGAAGCTACAGGCGTTCTTTTCGGTAAAGGGAGTTGATATTATTATATATATATATATATACATACACACACACACATAAAGAAAGGGGGGGAAAAAAGACATGGGACCTACAGGTGCTTTTTAAAAACAACAAATGTCCATTTTCCCTTCATTTCTCCTTCCCTCTTTATTTCTCTTCGAGCGCAAAATAGAGGGAGCAATAGCAAGTGAGTTTGCCAACACAAGGGATCTGATTTTAAAAAGTGAGGCTTCCTAATAGGATATTTAGGGTGAGATTTTAAGTTTTTCAAGACTAAGTAAGTGTTCTAAAAATTTTTCTTATTCATCTTGCTCCTTTCATTTCTAATATTGTGATGGTAAAAAATTTAGGGTTTGAAAGAAGGATGAATTTATGTTGAATAAATATGGTTGTTGAGGTTATTAATAGTATAATAAATATTATAGAGCATAAATTTGTTGATGAGCTTTGAATTTGAGGCTTATGGATCAAATCCTAGACTAAATTTTTATTACATTCAAAAATATATATTGATTTATTGAGGTTTAGATGATTATTTGGGATGAGAAATAGATTATTAGGGCTATAGGATGATGATTCTAAGCTTGAGACTCACTTTTCAATTTTTGAGTTTTTTGGTGCGAATTTATGAAATAAAAATAAAAATTTTGATGATATAAATTGGTTTAAAGGTTCATTCTAGCTTATTAATGTTTATTGATGACTAAAAAAAGAGTTAAAAATTTTACTTAAAAGTATTAACTCTAAATTTGTATTAAGATTGAGATTAGAAATTATGCTATATTCTCTAATTCTATTATTAGAGTTATTTTATTAGTTTCAATAATTGAAACTAATATTTATAAATAATATGTTATTTATAGATTGTGTTGTTAATAAAGATTGTGTTGAGAGAGAAATTGTAAGGAATAATTTATTGAAAAAGTTACGAGATAACCATGCTTTTAATTTGTGATTAGTATTGCTTCATATTAATTGGGTGATTACTGAGAAAATTATGAATTATTGTTGAAAAATTAACTTATTATGTTTATGGAAAAATTGTACAATTGTGGATATGCATTTGAAGTATTTTTGCTAAGTAGGACGTCATATTGTAATATTGTTGAAAATGAGAAAATTGTGAAGATTGTAATATTGTATAATTGTACAATATTATTATAAATTTATTTAATTATTGTGGGAGGTATTAGGAGACTTGTTGCTATTGTTGTATTTATGTGCCACGTGGTGCACCCCTATTAGAGCCCAGCAGGTGGCTTGTAAGGGCTTCAGCTAATCTACTTTTGGCCGGGTAGTTTAACACCGAATGAGGGCTATGGCTCAAGGTTAATAAAGGGAGATAATAATGATTGTTTGTTATGCGTTGTAATATTTCTTGTATTTTTATTGGAATTATATGATTGTTGTTTCTCCACTTATTAAGCACACATTTAACTGTTTGTATACACTATACTGAAGCACTCTATTAAAGAGCGCTCCCATATGATCTATATAGGGCGCTCCCGTATATGGTACTTTATAGGAGCGCTTTTCAAATGAGCGCTCCCGTATATTACTTTTATTTTTTTAAATCAAATTTTTTAAAATTTCTCCTTTTACGTCTCTTTAACAATGGCAAATCATAATATCAAAAACTAATTTAAAAATAATATTAACATAAAAATTTATATATAAGAAAAGAATTTGAAACTGATACAACAATTTCAATTTCCTAACTAACCTAGTTTAATTTTTAACAAGCCTAACAAATGAAACTATTGTTATTTTTCTAACATTAAAATCTAACTTCCTATCACAAACAACCAATAATATATTCTGACCACTTTTCAACTAAATCTTCTATTTGCTCCATAGTAAAATGCAAATATCTTGCTCCAATAAAATACTACACAAGATATAAAAGCAATATATAAGTAATTAACATTATATTAACTTAATTTCAAAGCTTTTGACTTATATTTTCAGGAATGATTAATTCTTATTGTGTGATTACTTTTCTCATAAACTTCATAACATAGTATCCACACTTGCAACCTTGTAATTGTGTAGGTACCTATAAAACAATAAAAAATGTCATTATTAAAATATGGTAGAAATAAATTCTAACTTAATTTAAAATACTTCAGTGATGAAGTTATATATATGATACAAGTATTTGCTATCGAAAATTTGGCAGAGTCTCCCCTATAACTTAGAAGTTTCAGAATTTTCTAAAAATTCTACATCAATCCAGAACAACATATTCAAAATAATAAACATAAAATATCAATCAAATAATCATTTAGATAACATGCTACAGCCCTATTATATAATGATTAAGCATATCAAGTAAAAACTAATTGTTATAATAAACATATATAAAGAATATAGAACTAAAAATTTACTGATTAAATAATATCATCATAGATTTGTAGTTCTTAAAGTGACTATCTCTTAATGAATCAAGATAATAAATTACAAGGATGAATGGATTGATACAAACAAGCACCAAATGTTGCCTGAAAAAAGAAAATATTTCATTAACTAAAATATCACCTAAAGTTAAGAATAAATAATAATAACAATTTACCCTGGATTGTGAGGAGCTAAAAATAACATGTTTCTTTTGCCTTTGACTTTGAATGTATCAATAATTTTTTGAGAATGGTACTCAACACTGTAGGTACTAGTGTTGTGCGGGCTAATAAATAAAAATTTTGTTATCAATGAACCCGACACCACAAAAGTATAATATAAGTACCTAAAATGAAAACAAAAAGAATCATTCACAACTAAAATTAAATAAATACCATAATAAGTAATAAAATTGAGAAAGTACCTGATGTATAAACTAATTGTGTGGTTTGTAGCCAATCCTTGGTCAGAATCACGTTAATATTTTCAGCTGATAATTTTTTGCTAATCATTTCACCATAAATCTCCTTTTCAAATTCTACTTCACGGATCTTATTTTTAAATGTTGTCCGCATAATCACTTCAAGTGCATTTTGATGAAGATATTTCAATTGAGTAGATTCTATGCTAGTCTTCCCTGCCTTAGTCATAGAGGTAGATCCTTTTGACAGCTTTCCTTTCGCTTTGATTGGCTTCTTTACAACTTCTTTAGATTTTGAGGACTACAAGA